AATTAGCTAAAAAGGTTTGTTTTAAATAAGTTTCAAATTATAGATCAATATATATATATATATATATATATATATATATATATATTACTTATATGTCAAATTTATCCCATGAACGAGACATGTTTTGGTCTATTGGTATCATGTGAGTTGTCTCGTCCCACCATTTTGTTGATTCGATTCGATTCTCAATAATGATAAAAAAAAATTTGTAACAAAAAATTCGTACATAAATATTGATAAGTAATTAGAATTTGTTAGAAATTAACAAATGATAAATTAAGGGCAACCAAGAATCCTAAGCTCTTTTTGACACGCACTTTTTTTTTTATATTAACCCAATTAACTCGTTAGCCCATTAATTAATTTAATCATTTAATTGTCCACTGAAAATCTCATATCGAATGAAACATCAGGAACTAAATATATCAACCCCGAATTAAATGGATTGAAATTTTGTAAAGTAACACTATACGATGAATCTATAAATATTATTATCCGAATACAAATAACATGCTATAATAAATTCACTAGTTGAGAGATGATAAAGTTATTTTGAAATATTGGATTCAATTTTACTAGTGGAAAGGATGAAACGTAATTAATTATGTAACTAAAAACTAATTACGGATGTGAAGATTAAATGGACTGAATGCTTAGTGAAATTCTTAATTATCAAAAAAATAAATAAATAATATACTATACTATAATAAATAACAAAGAGTTTATGAAATATAAAAGACAATAATAATATGTAGGGGTAGTCTCTTAATATATTTTAACATAATAATATTTATTTAAAACAAGTTAATTTCACAGTTTTTCTAACAAGTTACTACTCTTAGTTACTTTATCGATCAATAATATATATTTAATTATGAATCTCCACCATGTCCTATACTATGTGTATACTATAAGACACTTCTTATTCTTAGCCAAAAGAATTCGATTTTTGGATAAAGTTGTCCAATTGTTTCATTTGGGCATTATTTTATTTGAAAATAATTAAGAATAATCAAACCTAGTTGCCGGTCCGTCTATCATGTCAAGGAATAATATCCTATTTTTTCTTTCTTGGAACATATTGATAATATTACTAATGCATATATATTCCATCTCATTTCAAAAAAACGTTTGATGGATAGTTACCTATATTTATGGAATATTATTTAGAAAGTATATATTTAAATAATTTGGCGACACGAAAATAAACTATTCATAAAATTATCATAATCGGAGTATATAAACTATGTGATTAAAAGTTTAAGATTGAAAAAAAAATGACCAAAAAGCCAAAGGGTTGTGATGCATTTACACTAACCAATTTACATGAAATATTAAAAATTGAGGATATTCTAATTATATTTTATAGTAACAGCTTCCTCTTCGCATTTAAACCTAGAAGCCATCGACCACGTGGGCATTGGGCAATACCGCATGGGCCCACACGAATGCCTAGGAAATGATCGGAACCGTCCATCCTGTCGTGTGGGACCCTGCAAACAAACTTGAATGATATGGAGGTCTCATTCCACGTGGGCATTTCCTGTGCACGTCACCATGTCCGCACGTGCGCAGACAAATGTCACGTGCTGGTCAAAAGGTCAGAGCTGAACCTGAGGTGTTTGACACGTGGAGGAGGTGGCAACATCGGTACTCGGTTAAAACCTTATCCAACCACTCGCTACACGTATCTCTATTTACTTCTTTGCAATTTTCAATGTATATTATATATATATATATATATATATTAATGGAAATTTCAGTGAATATTTATTATTCTTTTTGGGACAGTGTATTGGTCTCTCTATATATATATATATATAACCAGCAGGCGGAATCAGAATTTTTTTTTAATGGGGTCAACAATTATAAATATTATATAAAATATAAAAAACTAATAAAAATATATTATCAGAAAAATATTTTTCATTCTATAGCTAAATTATCTGATCTTTCATTTTTTAAAATCTATCCATAACAACTTTATTTATAATTATCTCAAACATATTTTTTTCGATAAAACAAATTCAAAAATCACTCAAAGGTTAATCACCAATCCGACTACACAAAGTTATTTTAACATGACTAAAAACTGTCAAATAAGTGAACAATTTTAAATTTATTCTGTTAAATAGATCATTAAATTTTTGACATTGTAAATTTTTTTTTGAGAAATTTCTCAATAGATTTCTCTATTAAATCAATTATGAGATTTGTATAAAAATAAATTTATTAATATGATAAATATTTAGAAAAAAATGAATAAAAGATAAAAAAAATATTTAAAATAAAATCCAAAATGCTTACATATTTTTGTTGGTTTTAGTTTCTTGGATTTGATTATTATTAGATTTCTATTTTTTTATTTGATAAAAGATTAAACAGAATTAATTTGGAGTTGGTAAAAAATTTAAAAAAATGAAGGAGAATGTGAAATTGGTAGAAAAAAAATTGAAAAAAAGATTTAGGATTAAAAAAATGAGGGATACCACTTAATTTGTAGTTGGGACATTGTTATAATTTAATTAAAACTATAAGTAATATTTCTTTTTTTAAAATATGAATGGGGGTATGTGCCACACTTATGTGTAAGTAGATCCGTCTATGTATGTAGCATGGGCATGATTTACTTCTTTTAAAACTATAGTATTACATAAATTCGACTTTGATCGATATATTATTTTAAACCATAACTTACGAATTTACAAGGATATACCTCGAAAGTCCAAAATGGGCAGAACATTTGGTTGAGTAGGTGACTAAAAAAGTCTCCATACCCGGTTCGCTACCTTGGGTGAACCTTTAACCCAAAAAAAAAAAAAACATATTAAAATGATATATATTTACATAATCATGCAAACACTATTCCACTGCCGTGCCAATATTGCCATGTCGTGCAAAAGTGGGACCCAATGGAGTGGTCATCCACGTGGATATGATGACGTGGACCAGGCACGAGGGATGGCCTTTACGGAATATCATTTCGGGGCCCAATCTTTTGTTGGGCCGAATTGATTTTTTATTGGTTATTTTGAAATTTATCCGAAATTAATTTTTTTGGTGTGTAGTTATTAAATGGGCCCTTCATGTGGCCCATTAAAACCCTGACTCAAATCGGCCCAACACTTGTTTTCGGCCTACTTTACCAAAAATCTGTGGAATGCATTCTATACATTACGAAACAACATTTTATAGAATATGGATAATGAACCTACCAAGTTCTTAATTTTAAAATATAATTTTTATTAAATAGGATGATTTTATAACAACGATCCTACAGTTAAAAATTATACTTTTAGACTATATGCTCAAATTTTTTTAAAAATCTAAAATAAAGTATAAACATATATATTATGTCGTGCTGCATCAAAGGCACGTAACGGAGGGTCCTTGTCTTGACTTTATGTTATATGGTTTTAGGTGGATGTCTCCTCCAAGCTTTATCCATTTTGAAGTTTTATCCAATATCCTAGGATTTACGAGTTTTCAAATATCTTTAATTAATCCATGAACCCGTTTTTTTTTTTAAAAAAAAAATTAGAAAATTTTTAAACTTACATATTGTGACTGGAGATATTTATTGGGTGTAGAATTTTGATTTAAATTTACTAAAACTACTAACCTTTTTTTTAAACAAAAATCAACGTAAAAAAACTATTTAAGTATTTTCTTTTTCTTTTTTAATGTGTTTTCGTCCAAAATTGTTTGCACATCAAATTGCATTGCTTGTGGTTTAGAATTCAGGGGAAATATCAAATGATTGTTTTTATGACATAACATTTAAGAAACATCAAACCCTTAATCAATATGGTCAATTTGCATTTTATTTTTATTTTAATTTATGATTTTCAATTTAAAAAACTTTTGATTTAATTTGTATAATCGTTTGAATAAATTTAATTAAAATTTAAAATTTAACTAATAGATTTTAAAATTAAATTAATGTATAAGTTCTAATTATCATTGATCATTATATGTTTTTTTTTTTGTTAAAGATCACGGGTCGTGACAAGTTTCGGACATATTTTTGGCTGAAAATGATATTTTAATGTATTACAATTAGTTTAGGAGATTCCATCAGAGGGTATGAAAAAAATGGATATAATAAAAATTGAAGTTACAGCAAAATAATTATGACTTTGATGGATAACGTCAATATATACCCTTTTGGTTAGTAATCATTATCAGAGTGATTTTGTAATTAAACAACCAACTAAACATAATAATTCCCCCTAACATGAATCTAATCCAATTCCAACGTACCACTTAGGATCTCATGGTATAACAAAAATTTTATTCATTACTATGGTTTGTTACCACCATTATTTTCATATATATATAACACCATGTTTACACGAAAATAAAAAAACTGATTTTCTTTATATAAAAAACGTCCATAATTTGTCTCGCAAAAAAACAGATTTTAATTAAATAATAAAATTTTATTATATGTTATAAAAAATAAATGGATATAATTTTACTAAAAAAATCAGTTGGATTAGAATTTAAAAATAATAAAAATGGAGTTTTTTAAAATATTTATACAAAAATAAACCGAGCATAAACCAATTAAAAAATGTAGTGACTATGATTTGTTTTAAAAGGAAAGTGAAATACTAAAATGATCAAAATTAAAAAATCTGAACCCCACAAATCTCACAAACAAATTGATAATTTTTTGTGTGCAAATGGATAATTGTGAGATTAATTAAAAAGTGACAGATGGGACCCACAGAATACCCTCCGAGTCTCTCTCTCATAAAACATAATAATCAATCATAACCCTTCACCATCATCATCTTCTTCTTCTTCTTCATCATCAATGGAATCCCCCGAATCAAACCTTCCTTTTGCCTCTTCTTCCG